TCACTTAAATTTATCACTTAAATTTATCACTTAAATTTATCACTTAAATTTATCACTTAAATTTATCACTTAAATTTATCACTTAAATTTATCACTTAAATTTATCACTTAAATTTATCACTTAAATTTATCACTTAAATTTATCACTTAAATTTATCACTTAAATTTATCACTTAAATTTATCACTTAAATTTATCACTTAAATTTATCACTTAAATTTATCACTTAAATTTATCACTTAAATTTATCACTTAAATTTATCACTTAAATTTATCACTTAAATTTATCACTTAAATTTATCACTTAAATTTATCACTTAAATTTATCACTTAAATTTATCACTTAAATTTATCACTTAAATTTATCACTTAAATTTATCACTTAAATTTATCACTTAAATTTATCACTTAAATTTATCACTTAAATTTATCACTTAAATTTATCACTTAAATTTATCACTTAAATTTATCACTTAAATTTATCACTTAAATTTATCACTTAAATTTATCACTTAAATTTATCACTTAAATTTATCACTTAAATTTATCACTTAAATTTATCACTTAAATTTATCACTTAAATTTATCACTTAAATTTATCACTTAAATTTATCACTTAAATTTATCACTTAAATTTATCACTTAAATTTATCACTTAAATTTATCACTTAAATTTATCACTTAAATTTATCACTTAAATTTATCACTTAAATTTATCACTTAAATTTATCACTTAAATTTATCACTTAAATTTATCACTTAAATTTATCACTTAAATTTATCACTTAAATTTATCACTTAAATTTATCACTTAAATTTATCACTTAAATTTATCACTTAAATTTATCACTTAAATTTATCACTTAAATTTATCACTTAAATTTATCACTTAAATTTATCACTTAAATTTATCACTTAAATTTATCACTTAAATTTATCACTTAAATTTATCACTTAAATTTATCACTTAAATTTATCACTTAAATTTATCACTTAAATTTATCACTTAAATTTATCACTTAAATTTATCACTTAAATTTATCACTTAAATTTATCACTTAAATTTATCACTTAAATTTATCACTTAAATTTATCACTTAAATTTATCACTTAAATTTATCACTTAAATTTATCACTTAAATTTATCACTTAAATTTATCACTTAAATTTATCACTTAAATTTATCACTTAAATTTATCACTTAAATTTATCACTTAAATTTATCACTTAAATTTATCACTTAAATTTATCACTTAAATTTATCACTTAAATTTATCACTTAAATTTATCACTTAAATTTATCACTTAAATTTATCACTTAAATTTATCACTTAAATTTATCACTTAAATTTATCACTTAAATTTATCACTTAAATTTATCACTTAAATTTATCACTTAAATTTATCACTTAAATTTATCACTTAAATTTATCACTTAAATTTATCACTTAAATTTATCACTTAAATTTATCACTTAAATTTATCACTTAAATTTATCACTTAAATTTATCACTTAAATTTATCACTTAAATTTATCACTTAAATTTATCACTTAAATTTATCACTTAAATTTATCACTTAAATTTATCACTTAAATTTATCACTTAAATTTATCACTTAAATTTATCACTTAAATTTATCACTTAAATTTATCACTTAAATTTATCACTTAAATTTATCACTTAAATTTATCACTTAAATTTATCACTTAAATTTATCACTTAAATTTATCACTTAAATTTATCACTTAAATTTATCACTTAAATTTATCACTTAAATTTATCACTTAAATTTATCACTTAAATTTATCACTTAAATTTATCACTTAAATTTATCACTTAAATTTATCACTTAAATTTATCACTTAAATTTATCACTTAAATTTATCACTTTAATCAGGTAAGGTGATTTCTTCTTTTTTTTTTAAATCATGCAAATGAGATTATAGGGGCCTATATTTTAAAACCTACAGGTTAGTTTACACGCTCACATTCATTACGTCCCTTATTAGTTCAGATGATGACTTGTAGGAAATAAATATCAACTTGGTTTATCTCAGCGTAAATTTCGATTAACATCCATATATTACTGCGCTCTGTTTATGGCCCTATATGTGAGTCTTCATTGTGTCAGGCATTTTCCGGGGCGGGTTTGTTGGCAGTGGCGTAGCGAGGGTGTTTGGCACCCGGGGACAAGATTCGCGCCCAGGGACAAGATCCATTTTAAAGCGCCCCTTTTTCTTTTTTTTTCAACTCTCAAACCCATTATTTTCATCAATAAAATAGTATCAAAGCACATTTTGGCGCCCCTAACTAGCTGGCGCCCGGAGATATCTGTCCCCCCCCCCTGCCCCCAGCACGCTACGCCTCTGTTTGTTGGCGTTGAGTTCAAATACAGTGCTGGTTTAAGATTGCTCTGATGACATCCTGCTCTGATGACATCCTGCTCTGATGACATCCTGCTCTGATGACATCCTGCTCTGATGACATCCTGCTCTGATGACATCCTGCTCTGATGACATCCTGCTCTGATGACACCCTGCTCTGATGACATCCTGCTCTGATGACATCCTGCTCTGATGACACCTTGCTCTGATGACACCTTGCTCTGATGACACCTTGCTCGGATGACACCTTGCTCGGATGACATCCTGCTCTGATGACATCCTGCTCTGATGACAGCTCGCTCTGATGACACCTTGCTCTGATGACACCTTGCTCTGATGACACCTTGCTCTGATGACACCTTGCTCTGATGACATCCTGCTCTGATGACATCCTGCTCTGATGACAGCTTGCTCTGATGACACCTTGCTCTGATGACACCTTGCTCTGATGACACCTTGCTCTGATGACACCTTGCTCTGATGACACCTTGCTCTGATGACACCTTGCTCGGATGACATCCTGCTCTGATGACACCTTGCTCTGATGACATCCTGCTCTGGTAGCACTCTGTTCTGCAGAAACTCTTTTATGGTGGCACCTTGGTCAGGTTGCACTCTATTCTGGTTGCAATCTATTCTGGTTGCACTCTGTTCTGGTTGCACTCTGTTCTGGTTGCAAACTGTTCTGGTTGCACCCTGTTCTGGTTGCACTCTGTTCTGGTTGCACTCTGTTCTGGTTGCACTCTGTTCTGGTTGCACTCTGTTCTGGTTGCATTCTGTTCTGGTTGCACCTTGTTTTTGTATTTAACTGAGTTGTGCTAAGGAATCAACTGGATCAACCTGTGTCAAATTTGCATTTACCATTGGGTGTCACCCTCCTTCCCCCCCCCC